TCCCTGATTGTCCAGCTGAGCTTCCTCCGACAAGCCCCTCACCCAACACTGCCATCTTAACTGTTCTCATGATAATGTAAATACCTCTCACCCAACCCCACCACTGTAACTGAACTTACTCTGCAACGCCCCCACCCTCCAAAAACTACCCAAACCTATAAAGCCAACTCCTATCCCACTGCCCTTTGCTAATGCTCTTTTTGGCCTTAGTCCACTTGCACCCAGCTGAATAAACAGCCATGTTGCTACACAAAGCCTGTTTGGAAGGTCTCTTCATTCAAAGCGCCCGTTTTTTCAACATAAACCACCTTGCCTGGCCCAACATTTTAATAAATTAAGCATGCAAATCTTCCTGGGAAACAAAAATTTAAAATAGCTCTGCTACAGATTGCTACAAACTATCACTACTTGCATCAAATCACTTAATTGTCTTAGATGCTGAATGACACAAAACTAATGCTTTTATGGCTTTTTATGAAATAAAAGCTCATTTAATTAAACAGTAGTTGAATCCCTGCTACTTGCTTGGCACTGTGCCACACGCTGGAGGCATTCTAACTGGAGTTCCCTCTTCTCCAGAAGTTTACTCTTACGGAGCAGGAAATGGCTCTCAATAGGGTCTCCAAAGTCAAAACTATACTAAAGATTATTTGCTATTTTCTTGCTCATTCACTTACAAGCTGTTAAAAAACGCACGCTTTGAAAGAGGAGACTCCCCAAGCAGGCTTTGTGTGAGCAAAATAGCTGTTTATTTACCTGGGCACATGTGGGCTAAGGCAGAAAAGGGCGTTACCAAAGGGCGGTGGGATAGTTTTCTTTTTTTTTTTTCTTCGAAGAAAATCACTTTATTCTAATTAACTCACAAAGAATAAAATCATAACAGCTAGTTTAAGGAGACCACATAAACATTTGACCAACTCCAAATTCTACAGAGTAGGAACACTCCCTTCCATTTCAATTCTGAAGCAAGGAAGCTAGGAATGACAGGAGAGGTTTAACTGAGGGCTACACTTTTTACTTTCACTATCAATTAAATTTTTATATTAAATTAATTTGGTTATGAGAGCTGGTTTTCCATTTCTCCAGGCTGAACTTCTTGATTAGGTCAATCCGTTTGCAAGTCGGCACTGTTTCAGCCCTCACTGAAACCCTCACAGAGCTTGGTTCTGGGCACACTCCAAGAACTGTTTGATCTCATAGAGAAGCAAGGCTGCTGCTGATGTGCCGGCTGGGTTCCCTGAGGCTCCTGGTAAGTGATGTCAGGCCTCGCAGGCTTAGGATCACTTCCTCCACTGAAGCCCCCAGTAATGGCGTGGCCCAGTGTGTGCCCCACAGCAGAGCCCACAGCCACGCCAGCTGCGGTGGTTGCCATCTGGGACAGCAGACCTGGCTGCCAGGGCGCAGCAGCAGAGAGCCAACTGCAGAGGGGGGTGCCGCTACTGGTGGCTGAGCGGCTGGTGCTGGCCTGGGCGCAGCTCTCATCTGAGGGACCCGGCTGGCCGGAGGGGCCATGCGTGAGGTGGGGGAGCTAGGCCTTTAGACGTGCAATAACCAGGGAAGAGCTCAGCGGCTTCTCAGGAGTTGGTTTTATAGGTTGAGGGGAATCTTTTGGGGAGGGGGCAGGGGTGTTATGGAGTAGGATCAGTTACAGTGGGGGGGGAGGGGCAAGGAGTATACATTACTATAAATTCAGTTGTAATGGCGGGTGGGGTAAGAGTAGTTAAGATGGTAGGGTCGGGTGAGGAATATTCACACTATCATAGGAACAATTAAGGTGGCAGGGTGGGGTGAGAACCTTAAAGTCCGGGGGAAGCTCCTCTGGGCGATCAGGGATAATGGCGAACGCAGCGGGGTAAGTGGGAGGTAATCAGCCGAGGCAGGCAGGACTTTATAGACTCTCTGGGTCCAGGCTTGCACGTGGAGGCCTGACACGTGCAGGTGGTGTTTTCCAGAGGGTACATGTTGTGATGTGTGAAAAAGGGTAGTGGAGTGTGTCAAAGTTTTCTCCATTTTAAGTTCTCATTCAGTAACTACTTATTAACAGGTATAACCCATACTTAGGTATAACCCATTAATAGGTATAACCCATACTTTAAAAAAAAAAAAAAAAAGCTCTTTGGAATCTTCCATCAACTACCAAGAATATAAAGGGGTTCTGAGACAAAAAGTTTTGAGAACAGGGATGGGGGTTGCAAAAAGCAAAAAGTTTTTTCTGCAATACAGGTCCGATGCATACCCTGGAAGCCGTCAGCAACAACGAATACACTACAGATAACCACGGATCCTACAGTGTGAGGTTTGGTCCCACCCAGAAAGTTGGGAGCCAAATGCGTGGCTAAGTGGAGATGGCCAGGGTTTGGGTGAGGGGCAAAGGCGAGTTGAAAGCACTGGAGAGACAGGCCCGACTCTGTGCTAGGGAACACACCTCCTTCCTTTGCATACTTAATACAAGAAGCTATAAATCCTTCTCTTGCTGGTCAGGGCATAACCTGGACCAAACGGGAAATTTTATTTTATTTTTTTTATAACACCATGCCTCAAAAGTGCAACCAACAAACGGGAAATTTAAGGCAAAATAAGAGCAGAGCATAACTTGGACTAAAGGGAAAATTTAAGGCAGCCTCTCTAAATTACATAGCTTAAAAATCTGTCCACTTAGTAATAACTGCAAAGTTCGGCCTAAAGACTAAAACACATGCTTCCTGATTTGGGGGTGGAGATGAAGGGGAGTGCAAGAAGAAAAGGGCGGGAAAGTGAAGACCTAAAGAAAGAAATAACCGGCTAGGGGGAGGGGAAGAGGCACCACAAGAGGCCAATGAACGAGACCGAGGCTGAGACGCGTGCGCCAGTTCTCCGCATGCGCAGGCGCACGCCTGGTGATCTCGCGGGAAAGAACCGTTGCGGGCCCGGCTTTGCGCCGAGATAGGAGGGGGTGTGGAGGCGGGAGTGAAGTCTCGCGAGAAGAGGCGGTTGCCGTAGCGGAGCCCTCTGGCTGTGTGTGGCTGAGGTTTCGGCGCCGGAGTCGCGGACGGTCTGCTGAACCCGTTAGTGCGCCCGGCCGAGACACGCCGCCGCCATGTCTCGCTACCTGCGTCCCCCAAACACGTCTCTGTTCGTCAGGAACGTGGCCGACGACACCAGGTGGGTACAAGGCAGGTATTCCGAGCCTAGCGGGGAGGCCGCAGGCTCCCGGAGAGGACCCTGGCGGTGGCGGCACTGGGCCGGGGGAGGGGAAAGGGTGAAGATGGCGCGTCCGGCTCCCGCTTTGGCGCCGAACTAGGCCGCGTAGCCGGCCTCAGCCGCCGCATGGGAGCGAGGGCAGCGCCTCTGCCCTCACCCGACCGCGTGGCGGGGTTTTCCGAGCCCCCTCCCCCTCTGCAGTTCGCAGCCCCTTTCTCCCCGCTTCCTCCCGGCGCGGGCAGCCCCCGCCGTGGCCTTTCCGCCAGCCGACGGCCGCCCCCCATTGATTCGAAGTTCACGTTCTTCGGGGTGCACGCCCCCTTGGCCCAGAGATTTTTTTTTTTTCCAGCTAAGAGTGAGGTGAAATAACGGGATCGAGGGAGAGGAATGCTGCTTTTATCCTTTTTTTGTTGCCGTTGTTAATATTTGGGGTTTTTAATCAGATGGAGGTGTTTGGAGAAAGGGAACGTTGAGATTTGGGGAGTTAGATTCCTCCAGTTACTTGTTGCGAGTAGTTTTTCTTATTTCCTGGAAATTCTGGTCAGCCTTTGAAAAGGGAGGTTTAGGAAGCCTCAGTCATTAGGACGTTGACAACCAAATTAGATTATTTTAGACCTACCTTAAATAGGCTTTGTTCTCACCCATTCCCTTGTTTCGAGTTGCTTTCAGATTATTTTGGAAGAGATCTTAACTACAAATGAGGCTTCGTATTTCACAAATAATCTACACACAGAAAATACATGGTTTGGGTTTTTTGGTGTTTTTGTTGGGTTTATTTATTTTTTGCTAGCTTTGTGATCCTTTGTCTTAAATTTAAGCTGGAAAGACATAATAGTAATTACGTTAGCGTCTGGAGAAATTTTCCCTTTACGTCATTTTGACATTATTTAAGGCATTCGATATTTGTGACTTTTTCAGTCCGTATTTGCCTACTGTTAAGTGTCTAAACCTGTCGCTACAATTGGGGAGTAAAAATAAGTGCTTGGTGTTTTTCAAAGTACTGGAGTCGATTTGATGCTGTAAAAAGTAAAACAAAATAAAAAATAGCAGTGTTTACATACAACCTAATGCTGTTGTACCTTTTATGAAAAACGAAGGCTATAGATAAAAACAAAGGTCATTCCCTTGTACCTAATGTCTGCTGTTGTCCTGTTAATGTAAACTGCATTTTTATCTTTCAAATTCTTGAACCTAGCTTTCCTTTATCAAAAAGATATATTGCCTATACATCTTAAGGACTTGAACATAAAAATTTGAGGTCTTTTTATGATGTTTTAGGTCTGAAGATTTACGGCGTGAATTTGGTCGTTATGGTCCTATAGTTGATGTGTATGTTCCACTTGATTTCTACACTCGCCGTCCAAGAGGATTTGCTTATGTTCAATATCCTTTCTTCAGATGGCTGATTAGTGAGGGGTGTTGAAGTTTGAAATTCAAGTTTATGTAAGTGGTAACATCTAAAAAGTAGTTTGTTTTTGTCCTCTAATGTCTGTGTCTTCAAATTTTTGAAAATTAATTCTGACTCACACATTGCTCTTGTTATTTCTTAAAGTTAATCCAAAAATGGTAAAATATTTAAATTCCCATTCATGCTTCTGAAACTCAAATCAATGATTATATGTGTGATTTAAATTTGAATGCACTCTAGTTGCTACTACCTTTAAGTCCATTAAAAGTTAATATGTTCTTGTGCTTAGCAATTAAAATTTGGTATTCTTGTTTGTTAATTTGAATCACTTGATCAAAAACAAATTGTATAACAATGAGGTAAACTTCTTTAATATTGTCCCCTAATTTGCTGTCCTCTGTTGTTACCTCAGAGAATGTAAAGCTGTACAGTTATGGCGACCCCAAAGAGAAAGCATGAAAGAACCTTTAGAGTAGAGTTCAACACTTAAGGCAAGTAGACAAGCCAAAGACCTCTTAAGGATCAGGCTTGAAGAGAAGGGAGAGTTTGGGAAAAGAAAAAATAAAGAAAAGCTGGAAGAAGGACAAGCCTAATGGGAGACAAAGCCTCGCTTTATCTACAAAAGGGGGAAAAGGTTGTTTTTCAAAGTTAAAGATAAAGCCATCTGTCATATTTGGCCAAGCATCTCATGACAAGTCCTTCTGACAAGCACTTAAAGAGTTAAAGGTCAAGATGAAGTTGAATTGAATGATGGCCAAGATTAAAGGAGTCATACCTGATGTATCCTACAGAATAACTATTTTTCTTTTTTTTTCTTTTTTTTTTATATTTTGTAAGCAGTTAATTTTCAAAATCTGGTTTGGTCTAGTGACAAAACCTATAACTTGATTTGTGTGGGCCTTTGATGATGTGATTGTGGTCTTGTATAAATGCACTCTCTCTTAGTTTATCAAGTTAAAGTGTAACAGGATGTATATTGTTAAGATTAAATTCAGCATATTTTGGTTTTGGACCAGGTGGTCAGATGCCACGGAATAGCAGGCAGTGCTCTTTGGAGTAGCATGGGTTCTGGGGTTAAGCCACAGAGCCCTGCTTAAAGGAGAGACAGGTGTATGCACTGGGGACTACTTAGAAACAGCTTGGGTGGTCTTAAAGGGTCAGAGCCACTAGAAATTCTGTTTATATATAGATTTTAAAGTGCTTGCTGGGGACACACAAACCCTTAACTTCTGGAATTTAGCCCTGTGAAGACTGCTAGCCCTGTGCTGCTTTAGCGCAAATGATCAGTTGGCCCTGAATGAGTTGCAGAAGGCATTCTTCCTAATGTAGATGCCTAATTGGGACCGGTGAGAGACTGGTCCCTGACCCAGAGTTTCAGGTGATCTTACTTCCTCCTTTCAGTGTGAGATCATCTCCCTGCAACAAGGGTTTGGGTTTCGGACCACAAACTAGGAAAAATTCTTCCTGCTTAAATTCAGTGGGCCTCCTGAAACTTGTAATACATTAGTTGAGTCCTTGTGAGACAGGGAAAAGCCAAAAGCTACTCCTGCAGGGCCAGCGGTCAAGGACATTTGTGAGAATTGGTTGCAGACCTCCATTACAGAGAAGAGAATAGCCGTATCTGGCTTAGTAAATGAAGGTAGCAGTACATTCTGTCTTACAACATAAACCTAATTTTACCTAGTGTTGGGTGGCCCAGGAATCAAGGTCAATAGTAGTTTGATTCAAGAGTATGTGATACTTGAGGCAGAAAAGGGTAGTAATTCAAAGCAATCTAAAGGAGAATGATAATTTTTAATACATATTCAGTAAGTCTGTGGTCTTAAAATAGATGAAATAACAGGCTTATCAATTTCATTTTTGAAAAGACCATAAAGTACAAATTTCTCCATTACTGACATCAGAATGATACTTAGCTGCCTCTGCTGCTACTGTCTCTCTCTGACTCAATTCCCAGTTAGCCTTTTCTTCCTATCCGTGGCTTACCAAGTAAAGTAGAAACTTGCCATCAGCCCAGGATTCTGTTTTTTGAGGATAGCCCCAGAGAGGATGCTCTGCTCTCATTAATAATTTTTACGGCTCTCAATAGAAATCCTTTTTATACTTATATTCTGTCTCTTGGGGTAACAAAGTAGTATACCCATCAAGTGAACTTACTCCTTCTAATTAGAGTCCAGCTGCATTAACCTTGAGGGATGTTCAGTTACAGTATTCACGGTTCTAAAGTCCCCATCAGCCTTTGCCTTTTCATATTGAAAGCCCAGTTGTTTAAACCTTGTCCTTCCATTTAATCTATTCATAATGGCCTCAGGAAGAGAGAGCTGGAAACCTGCAGTCCTTAATTCTGTTCAGAACAAAAAGTGAGTAGTCTAGTAAGGCAGACCTTTTAGTCTCTAGAATAAAAGAATACCAGTATCAATCTCAAAAAAGAAGTGTACAATTTATAAAATTACCTCTCCAAATCTTCAGTCTTGTGATGTCTCAAATTTAGGAAATAGAAAGGTGCAAACTAAAATAGTGATTTTTTTAGGATAGAATGAAACTCTATACCCGGACCTAACTAGCTCTCTTTCCAAACCATTGATACCTGCCTTGAATGTGTACTTTGCCTCTGTCATGATGATGGTTTTAGGAAAGGAGCTAGGTTTGGGCAGAATAACTGTAAAGCCAGGAGTTCTCATAGTATCATTGCTGACATGACCAGTGAGAACAAAGGGCTTAGCTTCTCAGATCAAAAACAAGTACCAGCAGTTCCTGCTTAAAAGCTGGTAAATAACAAGTTGGAAACCAGTCTCAAACCCAGTTCTTTGCAAGAAGTTGAATATTTCGGATCATGGTTAGGGTTTTCTGGTCTAGGAGTCCTTACAGTGGTCTGTTGTTTCTTGGTAGCATGCTTTTACAGTCTGCATGGATGTAATAACGCATTTGGTATAGTGATTGTCTTTAGTACTGCTTGACTCTGTCTCGATGCCCACAAATGGCTAGCATGCTTGTCTTCCCATGCAGTGCAAGGAAGACAGTTAAATAGTAGTATTAGATATATATGAAAGAGAAAATAGCAAAATTAATTTGAGGTTAATACTTCGTCTCTTGTAAGGTAAGGCATATACTGTTTGCTTACACAAGAACTATTGGCATTTTCTTTTTTTTATTTGAAACATATGAAAAATGGTATTTTGGTTTTAAGAAACTAACATACAACATAGAACTGACGTTTGTTTTTCTTTTTTGTAAACTTAATTCTTAAAACTTAGGAAAATTCTTGGATAGGACAACTTGGTGATTCAGCTATAACATCTTATTTCAATAATAACTTTACTGCAATATGTATTCATACATTTTCAAATGTGTGCCTTAGGAAATCACAGGTGCTTTTATACTGTGAAGTGTTAATGGCTGAATCCAACTGAATCACCAACTAGTAAGTGGGGTCTGGTTGATTTTCTGGAATAATATTGGGAGATTGTGAATTGTTCCAGATATACGAACTGAACTTTCATTCATTATCAAAGTTTGCAAAACTTCCCAAGCCCCTTAACATTTAGCACATTTGAGGATGTTCGTGATGCTGAAGATGCTTTACATAATTTGGACAGAAAGTGGATTTGTGGACGGCAGATTGAAATACAGTTTGCCCAGGGGGATCGGAAGAGTAAGTACTGTTATACCTGATGTGTATGATGCATTATTTTTTAGGTAGTGTTTTGAGATTTTTTTTTTTTTTTAAGAATTTAAGCAGTTTGTGTATCTGTTCAAAACTCAAAAGGATGTTTTTTTTGTTTTTCCTTTTTTTGAGATGGAGTCTCAGTCTGTTGCTCAGGCTGGAGTGTAGTGGTTAATATCAGCTCACCGCAACCTCCACCTCCTGGGTTCAAACAGTTCTCATGCCTCAGCCTTCCGACTAGCTGAGATTACAGATGCATGCCACCATACCTGGCTGATTTTTGTATTTTTAGTAGAGATGGAGTTTCACCACGTTGGCCAGGCTACTCTCAAACTCCCCACCTCAAGTAATCCGCACGCCTCAGCCTCCCAAAGTGCTGGGATTATAGACGTGAGCCACTACACTTGGCCCAAAAGGATCATTTTTAAGAAAATGGGGTGTCTTGAATATTTAATCATATTTTTTAAATGTATTATAAAGTTTTGGGGTAAGTATAGGTGGGAGGTGGAGATTGGAGCCTGAAATATATCTAGACTCCTTGAAAGTTAACCAACTTTATACAGGCTTACCAGATGTTTGCTGCATACTTATGAGGCAGGAGTACAGGTTTTAGATTCAAATAGACCTGTGTTTGAATTCTGGCTTAGCCATTATGTTGCCTTGGGCAAGATACCAATTAAGAGATTAAAATAGCTGCTGAAGAGAAGAGGAACACTTGAGTAAACACAAACTGTTGGTAACTCTGGTTCTTGAGTTGGGTAATAGATTCCTGGTTATGTGTTAATGTACTCCAATACTTAAAATATCTGCTTAATTGAACTGAATGAGATAAGAATTGAAATGTATATAAGGCATGTAGGAATGCCTTATTCTACTTAGGTTCTTAGAACTGTAATTATATATTACTGCATTTTGACACTGCAGATTATTCATAGGCCACTATAAATACTTTGTTAATTGTGTTCCTAATGAATAGAATCCATGGTGGGATCATTCCAAATCAATACGGTTCAGTGGTCATTTTTTCAACCATTTAAGAATGTAAAATGGCAGCATGAAAATAAACTAATACTCTGTGGTTAGAAAAGAAATGTAAAATGGGTGGATGTGGTAGCTCATACCTGTAATCCCACCATTTTAGGAGGCCTAGGCAGGAGAATTGCCTGAGCCCAGGAGTTTGAGACCAGGCTGGGCAGCAAAGTGAAACCTCTGTCTCTACAAAAAATAAAATAAAATAATTAGCCAGGTGTGGTAGTACCTATGGTTCCAGCTAGGCAGGAGAATCAGTTGGGCCTGAGGTTGAGGCTGCAGTGAGCCATATTTCCACAACTGTACTCCAGCCTGGGTGACAGCAAGACCCAATCTCAAAAAACCACTCACTCCCATTTTGAGTTTTAAAAAATCCTTTTATGGTACAGACTCCCAGTGTCAGAATAGTTGGCAGGACTTGGCTAACAAGCTAGGTGGTGAGAAGATTTTGAAAATAGTTGGAGATAGGGCCGGGCATGGTGGCTCACACCTGTAATCCCAGCATTTTGGGAGGCCACGGTGGGCGATCACAAGGTCAGGAGATTGAGACCAGCCTGGCCAACATGGTAAAACACCGTCTCTCCCAAAAATACAAAAAGTTAGCTGGGCATGGTGGCAAGTGCCTGTTATCCCAACTACTTAATAGGCTGAGGCAGGAGAATCACTTGCACCCTGGAAGCGGAGGTAGTCGCTGAGGTTGCACCACTGCACTCCAGCCCTGAAGACAAAGTGACTCTTGTCTCAAAAAAAGTTGGGTAAAAGAGAGGGTTTTTTGTTTTGTTTTGTTTTTTGTTTTTGAGACAGAGTTTTGCTCTTGTTACCCAGGCTGGAGTGCGATGGCACGATCTCGGCTCACCGCAACCTCCGCCTCCTAGGTCCAGGCAATTATCCTGCCTCAGCCTCCTGAGTAGCTGGGATTACAGACATGCGCCACCATGCCCAGCTAATTTTTTTGTATTTTTTTAGTAGAGACAGGGTTTCACCATGTTGACCAGGATAGTCTCGATCACTTGACCTCGTGATCCACCCGCCTCGGCCTCCCAAAGTGCTGAGAATACAGGCATGAGCCACCGTGCCCGACCTTAGAGAGTATTATTTTTAACACAAAACAGTCTTCTAATATATTTTCTTGAAAATAAATACATAGATCGGGCGTGGTGGTTCACCTGAGGTCAGGAGTTTGAGACCAGCCTGAACAACATGGAGAAACCCCATCTCTACTAAAAATAAAAAATCAGCTAGGCATGGTGGCGCATGCCTGTAATCCCAGTTACTTGGGAGGCTGAGGCAGGAGAATCGCTTGAGAGGTGCAGGTTGCGGTGAGCCAAGATCACACCATTGCACTCCATCCTGGGCAACAAGAGCGAAACTCCATCTCAAAAAAAAAAAGAAAAGAAAAACATGCCTTTTCCAAGGTCAATGTTTGCAGTTAACTTCAAGCCAGCCTAGGCTAAATCACTTTCTGCCTCTGCATCTCACACCAAAACTACAGACACCTCTAAAACAGACTCCAGGCTGGGTGCAGTGGCTCACACCTGTAATCCCAGCACTTTGGAAGGCCGAGGCAGGCAGATCATTTCCGGTCAGGAATTTGAGACCAGCCTGGCCAATATGGTGAAACCTGTCTACTAAAATGCAAAAATTAGCCAGGTGTGGTGGCACGTTTCTGTAATCTCAGCTACTCAGGAGGCTGAGGCAGAATGGCTTGAACTGGTGTGGGGTGGAGGTTGCAGTGAGCTGAGATTTGCAACACTGCACTCCAACCTGGGTGACAAAGCAAGACTCTGGTCTCAAAAATAGAATTTAAAAAAAAAAAAAAACACTCCAAAACATACACTTTGTTATTATTATTTTTTTAGAGACAGGATCTCTGTCCCCCAGGCTGACATGCAGTTGTGTGATCACAATTCACTGCATCCTCAAACTCATGGGCTCAAGTGATCTTCCCACCCCAGCCTCCCCCGTAGCTGGAATATATATTCGAGCCACCAGGCACAGCTAATTAATTATTTTTTGTAGAAATGGAATATTGCTATGTTGCTCCAGGCTGGTCTCAAAATCCTGGACTCAAATGATCCTCCCACTTAAACCTCCCAAAGTACTGGGTTTACAGGTGTGAGCCACCACGCCTGGTCTTACACACTCATGCAGAGATTTTTTTTCCTCTATTTATTGAGGGCTTCAATACTGTTTTTAGTATTTCTAAGTATTTCTGTTACTTGTATTTCCTAGCACCAAATCAGATGAAAGCCAAGGAAGGGAGGAATGTGTACAGTTCTTCACGCTATGATGATTATGACAGATACAGACGTTCAAGAAGCCGAAGTTACGAAAGAAGGAGATCAAGAAGTCGGTCTTTTGATTACAACTATAGAAGATCGTATAGTCCTAGAAGGTAAGTGTGATGCGTAAACACAGTGATCTGTTTTAAAAAAGATGTATTTGTTAGCATTTAATTTTTTTTTTAACCTTTTTGTATGCTTTTAATTACATACATTGAATGCTTCATTGAGACAAAAAAATCTTTTAGCATTTTAAAAGTTTGATAGCCGGGTGCAGTGGCTTACGCCTGTAATCCCAGCACTTTGTGGGAGGTTGAGGTGGGCAGATCACCTAAAGTTGGGAGTTTGAGACCAGCCTGACCAACATGGTGAAACCTTATCTCTGTAGAAAATACAGAAATTACCCGGGCGCAATGGTGGATGCCTGTAATCTCAGTTACTCAGGAGGCTGAGGCAGGAGAATCACTTGAACCCAGGAGGCAGAGGTTGCAATGAGCTGATAGTGCGCCATTGCATTCCAGCCTGGGTGACAGAGTGAGACTCCATCTCAAAAAAAAAAATTTTATGGTTTGCTTTTAATTTAAAATATGGCCTCTACGAATAGATATTTGTCACTGCTTTTTCTGATATGCTTTTTAGCAGTAGACCGACTGGAAGACCACGGCGTAGCAGAAGCCATTCCGACAATGATAGGTAAATAACTTTGCTTTGAAAAAGACTCATATGTTTTTTAATTTCAGAGTGAACTTTTGCTCTAAAAGTAACAAATTTGATTAATATAGAATCTAATTTTTACTCTAATTATATCTCTCCTCTGTTTTGAAAGATTCAAACACCGAAATCGATCTTTTTCAAGATCTAAATCCAATTCAAGATCACGGTCCAAGTCCCAGCCCAAGAAAGAAATGAAGGCTAAATCACGTTCTAGGTCTGCATCTCACACCAAAACTAGAGGCACCTCTAAAACAGATTCCAAAACACATTATAAGTCTGGCTCAAGATATGAAAAGGAATCAAGGAAAAAAGAACCACCTAGATCCAAATCTCAGTCAAGATCACAGTCTAGGTCTAGGTCAAAATCTAGATCAAGGTCTTGGACTAGTCCTAAGTCCAGTGGCCACTGATAGTATAAACCATGGTCATTTTTAGGCATGTATCATTTACTCATAGTTTGGTTTACTTAAATTATCAGGAATACAATGTTGCAATGATGCTTAAAAAACACTTGTTAGTTTTCCCTGTACCAGGCAATGGTTATAATTAAAATGATATGCTGTTGAGAAGCCACTCTTAAGAGTCCAGTTTGTTTAATGTTATGGGCAGCTACCAATTTGTGGTGTCTCTGTATATTTTTGTAAAGATTCTCATTTTTTTATGCTTGAAGTATTTGGTGAAAAGATGTTGGTTGACCATAATTTGCAACATTGTCTCATTAAAAATAAACTTTCATATTCATATTTGGTAGAACTGTTAACCTAGAAATGTAGCTTGCTAATAGGATAGAATGATACAAAAGTGAAGTAGTAGCCACAGTACAGCACTGACTGCTCAGACACACTTAGGTTCAGGATGGGCCTTTATGTCTTGTCAAAGTGTTTAGGCCCCGCCGGGTGCGGTGGCTCGCGCCTGTAATCCCAGCACTTTGGGAGGCCAAGGCGGGTGGGTCATGAGGTCAGGCATTTGAGACCAGCCTGACCAACAGGATGAAACCCCCTCTACTAAAAATACAGAGTTAGTTGGGCGTGGTGGTGCACGCTTGTAATCCCAGCTACTTGGGAGGCTGAAGCAGGGGAATTGCTGGAACTTGGGTGGTGACAGTTGCAGTGAGCCAAGATTGCATCACTGCACTCCAGCCTGGGTGACAGAGTGAGACTTCATCTCAAAAAAAAGTCTAGGCCCATGATAATTACTTATGATGGTGAATTAGTTCTTTTGTTAACCCCACTGTCTTGGGGAATGATGCCAGCTGGGTTAGGTAATATTTTCAGGGAGATTGAGTTTTTGACTGAAACATGGAGGCTTCACTGCTTTTTTTCTGGTTCCTGTGAAGATTTGGAACGTAGAAAACACAAAAACTTATCTTAAAATTTGAGCAGGTCGATGATGGCAAAAATAATTTTAAGGAGAAAGGAATATTCTTACGTAGTTATTCTAAAGTTTAAGGAGCGTTGTTGACCATAATATTGCTTAGTTTTTCTTCCTGCTGTTAGAAGGGAGTAAATTGTTTCAAAGTAGGTTTTGTGTGTGTGTGTGTGTGTGTGTGTGTGCATAGTATAAAAGAACTGAATTTTTTTGATGCTTAGAGCACTTGACCTGTGCATTTGTATCAAAATTTGCCTGCCTCTTTATGAGCGAGGCCTGCTTTTCACACCTCAGTTTATTTAATATGAGGCAAGTTGAAAGACAACACTCATTCTAGGCGATTCTGTGGTGCCATGAAATTTAAAATAATTTTGGAAAAAGGATTAGTCAGTTTTAAGCAAGAGTCACATCTTCTGAGTTTTTGATTATCAGTGTAGTACCTGACTAAAAACGAAGTAATACCCTTAACCATTTATAATTTCTGGTATTTTTCTGAAAGATCGTTTTGGGGACAAAAGTGACTTGACATGTCCAATTTCATTTCAGAATAAAAAGCTAGCATCTTTAAAAATCAGATTGCTTGCTTACAGATATAAGTAAGAATTATGGAGAAACAATTCCTTTTAGAGGATTACTTTTTTCAATTTTGGTTTTTGGAATCTAGGCTTTGCCTGTAAAGAATAAAACGATGGATTTTAAATACTGTTTGTGGAATGTGTTTAAAGGATCGATTATTCTAGAACCTTTGTATATTTGATAGTATTTCTAACTTTAATTTCTTTACTGTTTGCAGTTAATGTTCATGTTCTGCTATGCAATCATTTATATGCACGTTTCTTTAATTTTTTTAGATTTTCCTGGATGTATAGTTTAAACAACAAAAAGTCTATATAAAACTGTAGCAGTAGTTTGCAGTTCTAGAAAAGAGGAAAGTTGTGGGGTTAAACTTTGTATTTTCTTTCTTATAGAGGCTTCTAAAAACGTATTTTTATATGTTCTTTTTAACAAATATTGTGTACAACCTTTAAAACATCAATGTTTGGATCAAAACAAGACCCAGCTTATTTTCTGCTTGCTGTAAATTAAGCAAACATGCTATAATAAAAACAAAATGAAGGAAATAATGATTAACTGGAATTATTACAGTATTGAATATGATTCTAAAATAACAATGGAAACAATCCTTTATAGATTTAGGAATGTTTTTAGTCAGTGTTGCACTAGGCACAAATAACTTTTACTTTGGAAATGATAGAACTTGCCAGAAAGGTACATCTTTTACACAGTAATTAAAAATTCATTGTGTAATGTCAGAGTTGTTTAATGATTGCTCATTCAGCCTCTTGGGTTAACTTAAGAGGTTGTTTGGTAGTGTTAAGATAAAGTTTGGATCAGCTAATTCTAAGTGTATACTTTCATATTGGGTGGATCAGTAATTCTCTCCCGCTTCGTAAACAAATGCATTGGAACTTAAATGTTTATGACATGATTTTAAATCATTTTGAATTGAATGTTGATGAGCAGCTAATATTAAGTGATAACCTCTTCAGGGAAGTAGGTTGTGATTTGAATTCCATCTACTTTATGACAATGATAGCTGATAATTTATTAAGTATTCATGATGTGCCGGGCACTTGAAAAGGCTATGTGTTAACTCATTTACTCTTCACAAAACCCTATGAGATACTTTTATTTTCCCCATATCACAGATAAGGAAACTGAGGCACAAAGAAAAGTCTATAAGGCAGAACCAGGATTTGAGCCCAGGCCTGGTCCTTAGTTTTAGGGTGGGTTTTGTTTGTTTTACAGAATGTAATTTGAGAGAAGTAGATTGAGGAGATAGCTCATAGAAATTGTTCATTCTGTGGGGCCTGATTTTATTTTTATTTTTTACTTGTGTCCACTTGTTTTTAAATTTGGACTATTGAGAACCTTATATGTTGTTTCTAAAGTGACACACCTAACAGCTTCAAAAGGACTGTGTTACAGTTGAACCTGTGGTAGTTTGGATCCTACTGGTACTTGAGGATCTTTACAAAGTGTTTTATGTTAGTTTTGGGTGATGTAGTTGAGTCCCCCACTTAATTGAGTGTACCTACTATGTGTGTGGTACTGGGCTCAATAATAATAGAATGGTTATATCAACACTCAAATGAGGGCTGACACATTTCACCTCTCCTTTTACTTAAGATCTCTCTGCATTTTTTTAAGCCCAGTAAGCAAGAAGAAAAATGAGATAATGCTTCAGTGAGAGAGGAAAGGTGCTTCATAGAGTATGAGCTGTTAAGTTACATCCCAGGGGAAAGACCTGGGAACTATTGTATTCTCTTGAAAATTTGGCCCAGTAAGCTGCTACATCCAGTTCAACTAACAAAATCCTGTATACCACAGAGAAGAATAAAGAAAACCAAACTGACAAACATCCTTCTTTTATTTAAGACCAAACTGCAGCTGGAATACCCAGTACAGTTCTGCTTACTACACTTCAAGAAAGATCTGAAAGCGGAAAAAGAACCAAAGAAGGGCAGTTCAAGCGACCAAAGGGTGGGTGGAAGGTGCTGCAGTATGAATACTGTACGAATATTTTGACTCTGGTCTGAAAAGATAAAAGAATGTTATCGAAAACTACATGGAATAATTGAAGTCCCTTCAAGTTTGAAAGTAAGCATTTTAGGACAAATAAAAGGAAATTCAACTTTGTACTTGTGGAAACTAATCCCTAAATATGAATAGGTTTATATTGATTCATGGGTACCAGATCCATAACAAATTATTGGAAAATAGGATGTCTGAATATCAAGGAAGACAGCCATAGTCTCTTACGGTGCCTCTGTTGGTCTGTCTCAAACTGAATTGGGTGGGAAAATGTATGGTCCAATATAAAAGTTCCATTTTCGCCATTATTGGCAAATCTTGCCTTTGTTTATTTCGGTGCCAGTGTTTTCTGCTTAAACATTTGCTTTGTTGGCATCTGCATTTATTTACTTGTACACCACATGTAGTTTACATCTTCCTTAACTACTCTCCTTCCCAGGTAAATTCGAATTACATTTGACATCCAGCTAAGAGGGCCCATCTCTTCTCACCTCTTTCCTAGTCAATATGTTCAGCAAATATTTATTGAGCCCTTACTATGGGCAAATCATTGTACTGGATAATTGAGGAGAAAAATAGTTGATTCCCTTATTCGGTAAATGTCTACTGAGCACAATCTAGTGAATCATTACATATCACCTTGTCGTTTTGTTTGAGGTATATTATTCGTAACAATATTTTACACCATTCATATCTTAATGTAATTATAGAACCCAATATACTATCAAGAATAAGTAATTATGTGGTTATTCTGCCATTTAAAAGTATTCAGTATTTGTTTGATCCCAATATTACAAATAATGAAAAAATGATTTGTTTTAATCTGTAATAAACTGGTTTATTGTGCAGTGACTGTAATATACTAGAGTTATATTAAAGTGTTCACTCTGCCTCACCAAACACATACTAGGAAATAACCCCCAAAATAAGTATTTAACTTTGCATTAGATATAAAGGATACTGGGTGCTATAATTAGATTATTTTGAGGCAGACAGCTGTTATCCCAACTGATTTAGTATGTTCTGTAATTGAGAAAATGTTCACCAAATTATACTTTTTAGTGATTTATATGTACATTTTATAGGGGACGTGTTCTGTGTATAGTGAATAAATAACTTTTATAGTATCATGAAATGTTTTGGATTCCTTAGTTTCTTATTAGGATGTTTCTTTACCTATACATTGATTCCATCACATTTGATTTTTGTCATCTTTTTGCCACATATTTAAAACTTACCATGTAAAATTATTAACTAAAAATCTGGAAGTGGAGTTTAAGCTTTTAATTTATAGCAATTTTGAAAATATAGCAGAGGTATATTTTCAAGGGAGGTATGAAATGGAATTTTTGTCTGTATTTTATTTTAGAATTTTTTTTTTTTAATTGTCCAGGATCCACACAACAAGTGTCAGATATTAGGTTAAAGTCCATAATTTTTCACTTGTTTCATCTTTTGTTATATTTTTTGTTGTTGTTTAATCAAATGGGGAAATGTTTTTATAGCTTTATTTTCATGGAGATAGTGAAATTGATATAATGGGAACTAGAATTTACTTAGAGCCAAAATGACTAGATTTAATTACAAAAAGTATTTTGTTGTATGCAGTTACACACTCATTAACATAGTGGGTGGTTCTTATGGATAGAGGTTCTCTGTATTTTTAAAAGAATATGTAGAGTTCATAGATGTTTTTTGCCCTTTACCTCCCTTCTCCATTTTCTTTTGAATTCTTATGGATAGAGGTTCTCTGTATTTTTAAAAGAATATGTAGAGTTCATAGATGTTTTTTGCCCTTTACCTCCCTTCTCCATTTTCTTTTGAATTGAAGTTAAGACATTTAAGGGAGAGAATTAAGTTGCATATTGAGTTGGGATTTTGTTTAAAAATAGGTGAATACTTATATAAATACAATAACAATAGTTGGTAGTTCTCTGAAATATTGTAAGTCAGAAAAGGACCTTTAATTTTTGCATCTGTTGAATGAATTGCTTTCGGATCTCTTCTGTGGTTGTTTCTCTTTATATTGAATGCTGTCAATATTGTTGAGGACTTACTGTGCCGAACCATGTGCTTTTCAAATATTTAATTCTAAAAACACTCCTGGGAAGTGGGTATTATTCCCATTTTACAGATGAGAAAATTGTCCTTTGTGGAATACCCACCATGTGATAGCATCTTGCATATGTTCATTCCTCACAACTTTACAAGGAAAATGGATAATGTTCCTAGATGAGAGATTAAATATAATTCAAGATCTCATGGCTGTGTGGCTCAGAGACTAAGCATGGCTTTCCAAATCTCATTCTCTTGAAGAGATTTTTCCATTGTATTGCATTTTGACCATATTCCTATTTACAAAACCTAATATATTCTGACGTAGGGAGGCTGTGACTTGAGCAGTAGCTTCGGAATAATCTAATGGCATTCTACTAGGAAGGAGGACTAGCAAAACCTGTAGAAGTCCCAGGCATGAACTGTTCTCATTTTAGATAGGATGACTTGATAAATAGGATGAAGTGAGCAACGTGTTTTGTCTTCAGTTGTTGATATCTACAAGACGTTCTGCTAGTCACTGTGGAAAAGGTTCCTTCTCGGATGTTTTCCTCTGCCCCTTCCTCTAACAGTGTTGGTTATCTTTATTATGTTTCTGTGTATTTGTAACAGCTATTTACCCTTGTATTGCACAATGGGGATTTTTCTTGGAATAAAAAGTGAGGCATGTAAACTCATTGAGAACTAACAGTAGTTTGTAAAGAAGTAAAAGGACTTTGTATCTAGTTTTTTGCAGATCACATTTCTTTGAATGCTGGAAAGTGAAATAAACTGGTCTAGGAGCCAAAAAAATGTTCGTTTTTTTAACATTTTGCTCTACATTAGATTTGTTACCACCCAGGTGCACTTTTTCCTAATTTGTATAAGAGGTTTTAGAGATGAACTCTGTCCCTCTCGATTTACAAAGTAATTCCCTATGAGAGAATGCAACCAAAACAGTAGAAACAAACTTACACAAAACCTTTCAGATTTTTTTCCTGTCTTGTTGTTTTAGGGAAGAAGAAAATTTATCAATGTGTATTTTAAGCTTAAGGTTTTGGATCTTGATTCTATCAAAGTTTAACTGCCATCAAAAAGATAAATTGAAATTACTTTTTTTTTTTTTTTTTTAAGACAATCTCATTCTAACTTCACGCAGGCTGGAGTGCAGTGGCACCGATCTAAGCTCACTGCAAGCTCCGCCTCCAGAGAAGCTGAGTTTATAGGTGTGTGCCACCACTCCTGGCTAATTTTTTTTTTTTAGATAAGTCTTACTCTGCTGCCAGGTGCCAGGCTGGAGTACAGTGGCACAATCTCGGCTCACTGCAACCTCCGACTCCCAGGTTCAGGCAATTCTCCTGCCTCAGCCTCCTAAGGTGCCTCAGCCACCACACCCAGCTAATTTTTGTATTTTTAGTAGAGATGGGGTTTCACCATGTTGGTCAGGATGGTCTCAATCTCTTGACCTCGTGAGCCACTGCGCCCAGCTTTTCTGTATTTTTAATAGATACGGGGGTTTCACCATTTTGGCCAGGCTGGTCTTGAACTTCTGACCTCGTGATCCACCTGCCTCAGCCTCTCAAAGTGCTGGGATTACAGGTGTGAGCCACCGTGCCTGGTGAAATTACACTTACCGAAGGTTCACAGTATGGCTGATTTCACAATTGCATTGATTTGGGCAGTTCTTATCACCATTCTCTAGGCTAACCAAAACTTCTCAGTACCTCTCCTAAAGTATGAGGTGTTTATATGGTTACTTTTATTCAGGTTACCTTTAACCTGCTAAAATTTTTACAGGTAACCTTTTTTCACTCCCACTAAATTTATCCATTTTGCTTGAGTCAAACCAAAAACCTAGTGTATATAGCTTAAAAACAGCTAGGTTGAGATGTCTTCAGTACACGAAGTTCAATTTTGCAGTCCTTGGCATTTTTCACAGAAATTACCCTGGAAACAAAAAATGAAGGCTTAAATGTTGGCTCTGCCTTAATTCCAGCTTGCATGAAACAAGATAGTTTTGCTGTGGGACTAGTTGTAGAATTTTAAGGATTACTCTCAAACTGGTTTTAAGATGCCCTATCATTTGAAACCTGTATTAGAAAGCAGGTGTGGTTGTGATGCTGAGGGTCCCTTGTGTATACTTTTGTCAGCATATTTAAAACACAAGGGTTCCTGTTAATATCAACCTAGATCATAGAATCATGTTCAAAAGCTTTGTAACATTTTCCATGTGTGGCCTTTTTTTCTGTATCAGCACTAGTTGCTCCTTTTCAAGCCGAAATTCCTGTCACATTTTAGTTGCAACCAGCCTTTTTTTTTATAATCAGGTATTTAGTGGCTTATAGTTCTGGAGTCTGAGAAGTCCAAGAGTTGTGAGATCATTGAGAATATACAAGCTTCCAAGTCAGTGACAAGTAGAACACATTTTTAAAAAATATTAGATAATCAAAACCATGTTTAAAATAAAACCAACCAGTGGGGGGAAACAATTTTATTTAATTTTATGCTTCAAATTCATATATACATAAATTTGTCTTTAGGTTATCAATATTTAACTTGGGCAGTACTTCATCTTGATTTATTTGGAGAAACACACCTTAGGCATCAAAAGAGGTGCCAATTAGAAAATAAGGCATTAACAAAATTTTTTAACTGACCCACATGCTTTTTAACTTGCTATTGGTTTCACTTATATTTAAGCATTTACTCTTAAGGTTGGCAAAACATGTTATCAATGTATTGTGCAGGAGTTCATCTTTTGTGTAAGTAGTCTGTTGGATTGCCACCCACCCTTGGCCAAAGAAAAACCAAACCCCACTGGCACCATACTCTAAACCACCTGTAATCCTAGGTTAGAAAATTGTGAAAGCCAAAAATCTGTAAGGTTGGAGGGACCCTTTAGTTAATCTTTGGGCTTAGAGGAGGAAAAAAAATAGTCCCATACTGCATTTCACATCTCTTAAAAATAATTTTAGCAGCTTAAACCTTTTTAGTTATAAAACTTATCACACTAGGATTTGCTTTGAAATATAGTTTACAACCAAATCAAGTATAATATATATACACTGGCACTTCAGCACAAGGGCACACTTTAAAAACAAATTATTTTCGACCTTTAAAACTAGGCCATACTATAAAAAAACAGTCCACGGTCTTACATTCAGCAAATTCATACTAAAATATCCCATTTTTGTAAGATAAAGGCCAAGAAAACTTTACATATGCTACAAGTTCATTACAGGTATTTACATGGCTCTTTCTCCCCTAGGTACTTAAAATTTTCACATTATACAGCTCCCGAAAGCCAGCTTTGCAGGAATGATGAGGCCAGATCACTATTATAATAGCCTGTGCAGTGCTGTAATACAAAAATGTATTTTGAAAGCTACTGAGTGACCATTAAATACTGTTAAAAAATGCTTTTGGTGTATTTGTTGGCAGACACTTAATCCACTACATTTAATAAACAGGGCCATTGGGGTGTACTATGTCTAATTCTAATGAGCTCCAAATGCCCTTTCCACCCACTGTATAATTCACTAAAATACAATTATTAAGAAAAATTCACATTTTCTTTCAGCAGTGCATCAGATTGTTAGCATATTACTGATGTGGGTGTTTCCAGTATACTAAACTTGCAGATATTTACCTAATTCTGAATCTGATTCACCAACACAACAATCTGGTCCATGAATGATAAATTACTATCTTCCCCTAACAATAGAAAAAGCTGATTCCTTTACCACTCCCCAAATCTAAACTTGGCTGGTTTCCCCTTAAAAGTTACTCAGTTGAGAACACTTAATATCAAGTACAATTATTTAGTTTTAAGTTGCACTGATACTACCATTACATCACAGTGCACACACACATACGTGAGATGCAGTCTATATTTTTTACATTAATTAGCAGTTCTACACAAATAGATTAACTCCCTGGCGAATTTGTTTCAGACCAGTTGACAACTATCCATAAACATAACTAAATTTAAGCGTAAGTACTTTGTCTTATTTTATACCTGTACTTTAAGTAAGGTTTTAAGTTGAAATGTCATTATTTCCTTGTCTGAAGGATTAAAGGAAACAGGGACCCAGTGGCTTGGTGGTTTGGGAAGAACACTTGGTGATGGCGGCTCACTAAATTTGGCACCAGCATAGTTCTGATTAGCTTGAGATTTAAAAAGTAAGCTGGGACCTGATAAACTAGAGTTCCAACTTTGATTATTTGGAAAATTTTTGTTCTTTCCCCCGTTTTGCATGGCCTGCCACACAGCTGCTGATGAGTTATAACCATGTCCTCTTTCTTTTTTCTTATGAACAATCTTCATCTGGGAATTCTGATCCTTGGTCTTCTGTCTGTTAAGCTGTTGTTGGTTCTTACTAACATTTCTAGATTGAGGCGCTGGAATGTTATACCTCTCTCCACCACCCATCTTCAGCTTCTTTGTCACCTACAAATGAATGGAAACAAATATTGAGCAAAATTCCGTTAAGAAAGGTTCAGAATCTTTAAGAAGCTTCTATGGCTCCAACTGAAAACTCCAGATATTTTGGATAAGACTTAGTAATAAGAGTATTCAGCTGCTTTAACTCAAAAATTAAAGGAAGCTGTTCAGACTCCAATATATGCACAAGCATTATTATACCTTCCCTAAGAAAAATGAGCTTACCCACAAATCTGCATAATCTTCTATTTTAAAATAAAACAATGGTTTACCGTGGCTCTATCATAAAATGCTTGCCCATTATGATGTTAATTTCCTTACCTTTCAGTCTGCTTTTCAGATCGCAGGATTTCCAATACCTGTCCTCTTCCTTGCTGCCAAGCCCAAGATAACAAGTGTTGCTTTCTGACAGATCCTTTCCTTTGTCTCAATACAGAAGTTTTCATGGGCCGATCTGCTGAGTTCACCCTAGGAGCTGAGGCCCACATCTGAGTCTCCTCAGCACACAAGTTTGAGAGAAGTCCTGGCTAGAAAAGTAAAGATTCCTGCATTATTTCCAAAATAATGCAGACGTTGAGAAAGTTACCATTTAGACTTACTATAAAAATCGTTGACTGTAAAAAAGGCTACTTCCAGAACTAAAAGGTAGAAAATGTGTGTTAAGAAGGCGTTCTTTGACCTCATAACCACCACCATTTAAAAAAAAACTCTTCACCCTTGAGATCCAGTCATTCCTGGGGAATTTTTTGGAAGTGTCTCCAAGTCCCGTAGTAAGTTTGTATCTTTTTTCTGGGAAATACCTCCAAATTCTCTCGCGTATAAAATCAAATAATTGGTAGCTGTTAAGGGTCATACCAAAAAATTGGTTTCTGGCGGATTTTCTAAAGAGACCACGTTTTTAAAACTCCCACCAGAATGTTCCAATCTTTCGACACGCCACATCCATTTTCAGTCTCTCGGAACATGTAGACATCATGCAGCATTTCCTTTGGTTATTAACACCTTCGCCTCCCCGTCTTAAAATAACAAGTTCTCACAAGCCCTAACAGCCTAAGCCCCTCTTAAATGTATAAAAATGTCTCCCTAGAGGGAACAGCTCAAGGTTTTGTTTTAATTTGATGTTCCAAGACAATAAGTTACCAAATAGTTAACCACCCTTCCTTTCAAAGGGGTAAGATTGCCTTCCAGACAGAATAACCACCCTTAATTACCATTTCCGGGCTGTGAGTCATTCACAACCCAAACCCGGAAAACTCGCCTCCTCCGACGCCACAGGGGCTTGGCTTCCCAGTGGCCCCATCTCTCCGGATCCGTAGGGGTCGCGGCGCTCCGCCCGCCCGCGCCCGCCCGGATGCCCGGATCTCGCCTCCGCTTGCCTCCTTCCCCCAACAATGGGGAGCGCGACCACCAACATGGCCGCGCCCGCGGCGCAGCCGCCACTTACCGACTTCAAGCTCGGAACTACGGCGGCAGCGGCTCCCTCTTGACGTCGAAGCCTCCCCCCCCCTTTCCAGGGAGAGACTAGGCACGGACCTACAAAGCCCACGAGAACCGATGAGCGCGCTGCCGGCCACTCCAGCTTCTACAACCCGACCTCCTCCTCCTGCCTCTACCGACAAAATGGAGTCGGCGGCGGCCGCAGAAGCAGGGCCGGGAGGCTCCGCGGCCAATCAAAACACGACGGCGAGGACCTGGCCAATGAGAAGCGGACCACCGCCTGTTGCTGGGGCAGGCCGGGGGCGAAGCGGGGAAGGTGGGGCTGCCGAGGGTTTGAAATCCGCCCCGGGAGGAGGAGCATGCCGGGAGTAACTGCTGGGTCCGCGGGTGTCTCCAGCTTTCTCCCGGCTGCTAACCCCGTGCCACTGGTCCCGGCCGCTGGGTTTTGGCTCTTCCTTCCGCTCGGCTCTCCTGCGCGCGGGATCGCCGCCCTTGGAACTGCCCCAAGGGAAAAGACTGACCGGCGGGAGACGTTTGGTTCTCGACTTAAGGCCACTGAGTCACGTAGCCTGTATTGATAGATAGAGGATACTCCGGCCTTGCGCCTCGGCTTCTGGGTCGCCTCCCCGACCCACAACTCCGCGTCCGAAGCCAGCGCGTCCCCGCGGTTCCCTCCGGTGACCCCACCCTCCAGCCTCGCATTACTCAGAAGTTGCCTCCTTGAGAAGGCGGTTCAGACACCCGGCCAAATCAGTCACTTCCTCCTTGGTGGCCCCATTGGTCCTTAAGTTCAATTAGAGCCCTTCACGCGCCTTGTTAGTTTCCGTGCCTGCAGCTCTCTCCACCCACTCACCCTCGAGAGTCACAATCGGTTTTGTTTTTCTGAGCATAGCGCCTCGCACGTTGCAAGTGCACGGTAAGTTTGCTGAGAGAATGAGAGCTGCTCCCTTCCCCTTTCTGCCGCCCTTGTTAAGTGAAAAAAGGGGAGTATATTCAGTTCATTATGCCAGCCAGGTGTAGTTAAGGTAAAAAGAGCAATTTCTTTGGAGTAAATGTATATGCAACCCAATGTGAATCTTTTCAAAAAGAACACTAATTTCAATGAGCGTGAATAATTCTGGGATAAACAATACAAAATCAGTCCCGTTACATTCACAGTTCGTTCGTATACACACATGTTTATGTTACAGGATTTATATTTACCAACTTTTTATAAATCTCACGTAATTCGTTTTTTGTTTATTTTTGAGACGGAGTCTCGCTCTGTCGCCCAGGCTGGAGTGCAGTGGCTCAGTCTCAGCCCACTGCAACCTCTGCCTCCTGGGCTTAAGCGATTCTCCTGCCTCAGTCTCCTGAAGAGCTGGGACGCCCACCACCACACCCGGCTAATTTTTGTATTTTTAGTAGAGAGAGGGTTTCACCATGTTGGCCAGGCTGTTCTCGAACTCCTAACCTCAGGTGATCCGCCTGCCTCAGCCACTAAAAAGTGCTGGAATTACAGGTGTGAGCCACCGCGCGCACCCTGTGATTCGTTTTTTAGTCTTCATTTTTTTTTTTTTTTTTTGCCACCGTCATCCCACACCTCCCAATCCCACCCAAATTCCTATATTCTAACCATTGAATCTTAAGAAAAGTTACTGCATCTTAAAAGATGCAGTTTGTTCATTTAATTGGATAATAGAGGTAGTTTTGAGCATAGGGACTTTCTGATGCTATTATAGTCAAATAAGAAGTATGTGGTGCCCGGGCGTGGTGGCTCATGCCTGTAATCCAAGCACTTTGGAGGCCAAGGTGGGTGGATCATCTGAGTTCAGGAGTTCAAGACCAGCCTGACCAACATGGTGAAACCCCGTCTTAAAAAAAAAAAAGAAGAAAAAGTATGTGGTAAACCAACAACTGTCTTAGTGAAAGTGTAATCTGTTTCCAAACACTCAAGAAGTTTGTTTGGATGTCTGGCCAGCTGTGTTTAATGAATTTTTAATGGTGGTGTCACTTCAAAAGAAACCACTTCCTGGCTGGGTGCGGTGGCTCACGCTTGCAATCCCAACACTTTGGGAGGCCAACACGGGCGGATCACCTGAGGTCGGGAGTTTGAGACCAGCCTGACCAACATGGAGAAACACCATCTCTACTAAAAATACAAAATTAGCCGGGCATGGTGGCCCATACCTGTAATCCCAGCTACTCAGGAGGCTGAGGCACGAGAATCACTTGAACCTGGGAGGCAGAGGTTGCAGTGAGCCGAGATTGCGTCATTGCACTCCCGCCTGGGCAACAAGAGCAAAACTCTGTCTCAAAGAACAAACAGGACAGGTGCGGTGGCTCACACCTGTAATTCCAGCACTTTGGGAGGCCGAGGCGGGCAGATCACAAGGTCAAGAAATCAAGACCATCCTGGCCACCGTGGTGAAACCCTGTCTCTACTAAAAATACAAAAATTAGCCGGGCATGGTGGCATGCTCCTGTAATCCCAGCTACTCGGGAGGCTGAGGCAGGGGAATTGCTTGAACCCGGGAGGCAGAGGTTGCAGTGAGCCGAGATTGAGCTACTGCTCTCTAACCTGGGCAACAGAGCATCTCAAAAACAAAGAAACAAAACAAAACCACTTCTGTGGCTCCAACTTGTAATACAGAATAAAATCTAAACTTTAAACATTTAGAAAATTATTCAAAACAAGCAATGGGGAAAGGATTCCATGTTCAACAAATGGTGTTGGGAAAACTGGCTAGCCATGTGCAGAAAGCAGAAACTGGACCCCTTCCTGACACCTTACACTAAAATTAACTCCAGATGGATTAAAGACTTAAACATAAGACCTGGCATAATAAAAACCCTAGAAGGAAATCTAGGTAAAACTATCCAGGACATAGGAGTAGGCAAGGACTTCATGACCAAAACACCAAAAGCATTGGCAACAAAAGCCAAAATAGACAAATGGGACCTAAAGAAACTCCACAGCTTCTGCACGGCAAAAGAAACAGTCAATAGAGTGAATCAGCAACCAACAGAATGGGAAAAAAATTTTGCAGTTTACCCATCTTGACAAAGGGCTGATATCCAGAATTTACAAAGAACTCAAACAGATTTACAGGAAAAAAACAAGCCCATTCAAAAGTGGGCAAAGGATATGAACAGACACTTTACGAAAGAAGACATATATGAGGCCAACAATCATATGAAAAAATGCTCATCGTCACTGGTCATCAGAGAGATGCAAATCAAAACCACATTGAGATACCATCTCACGCCAGTTAGAATGGTGATCATTAAAAAATCTGGAGACAACAGATGCTGGAGAGGATGTGGAGAAATAGGAACACTTTTACACTGTTGGTGGGAGTGTAAATTAGTTCAACCACTGTGGAAGACAGTGTGGCGATTCCTCAAGGCCTTAGAAATAGAAATTCCATTTGACCCAGCAATCCCATTACTGGGTATATATCCAAAGGACTATAAGTCGTTCTACTATAAGGACACATGTACACGAATGTTCATTGCAGCACTGTTTACAATAGCAAAGACTTGGAATCAACCCAAATGCCCATTGATGATAGACTGGATTGGAAAAATGTGGCACATATACACCATGGAATATTACGCAGCAATCAGAAATGATGAGTTTGTGTCATTTGTAGGGACATGGATGAATCTGGAGAACATCATCCTCAGCAAACTGACAAAAGAACAGAAAACGAAACACTGCATATTCTCACTCATAGGAGGGTGATGAAAAATGAGAACACATGGACACAGAAAGGGGAGTACTAAACACTGGGGTCTATTGGGGGTAAATGGGGAGGGCCAGTGGGAGGGGGAGGTGGGGAGGGATAGCCTGGGGAGAAATGCCAAATGTGGGTGAAGGGGAGAAAGGAAGCAAAACACACTGCCATGTGTGTACCTATGCAACTATCTTGCATGTTCTGCACATGTACCCCCAAACCTAAAATGCAATAAAAAATTTAAAAAAAAAAGAAAATTATTCAAAGCCATTGCAATCTAGAATTAGTCTTTTTCACCTGTAATCTCAGCACTTTGGGAGGCCAAGGCAGGAGGATCATTGAGCTCAGGAGTTTGAGAGTAGCCTGGGCAACATGCCAAAACCCTATATAAAAAATTAGCTGGGTGTGGTGGCACACACCTGTAGTCCCAGCTACGTGAGAGACTAAGGTGGGAGAATCACCTGAGCCCAGGAAGTAGAGGCTGCAGTGAGCTGTGATCATGACACCGCTCTTCGGTTAGAGTAAGACACTGTCTCAAAAAAAAGTTCATCTCTTCAGCCACTCTGAATTTGATCTGCATAAACACACACATAACATTGGAAATGTATAAACACACATACATAGTGTGTCCTTACTCTGCTTCCTATCCTGTGCTAGATGTTTTGCTCACATTATTTCATTTAATCTTCACAATACCGTTGTGGGCTAGGAGTTGTTTTGGCCCCCACTGTACCGATGAAGAATCTGAGGCTCAGACAGTTGGAAGTTGAAAGCTGGGCACTGGGATTCAAGAGCCCAGGCTCCATATTCTCTGCAGCATCCGTGCTCCCAGCGCCTAAAAGGTATTTTGCCCAGAGCAGACACAACTGACTGTTGACTGGGCTGCCATGGCTGTTAGGGCAGCAAGAAGCCTCTGTCCTGCCATCTGGCAGAACCAGTTTCTTTGCCAGAAAATACTATACAAATATACAAAAACTCAGATCCACCAGCACAATCCAATTAGCGGTTCTCAATTCAAATAGGAAAATGTCGATGCCAACAAACAGCTCTCAGGATATAGCTCACCTAGACTGGAAGCCAAATGCAAAATAAATACATGGATGTTTAATACAAAATATTTAGCAAAGATTTATCTGGTGCCTACTTTGTGCCAGGCACTATGTCACGCCCTGGGGATACAACAGTGAAGGAGGCTCCATCCTGGCCCTAAAGGAACCCAAAAGCTGATTCCTTTACTGTTTATCAGAGGGGGAAACTGGTGCCTGGGGAGATTTATTCCCTCCCTTCTTCCCCTGAGAGTCAAAATCAGGCAATGCCAAAATCAACCTGCTAACCCCAGTAAGGACCTGCAGGTTACAAACATTGTGACTGGACCCTGCAAATAAAGTAGAAAAGGAGGGAGACTCTCACAACTTGTTAAAATTGTTTCACTGGAGGATCTGTTTTAAGCTATGTATCAGTGGCAACCAAAATCAACAAAATCATTAGGAAAGCATTATCTACCTAATCTGTAAAGCAGAAGCGGAGCAAAAAAAAAAGTGTTTCTGGGCCGGTCGAGGTGGCTCACACTTGTATCCCAGCATTTTGGGAGGCCGAGGTGGGTAGATCACCTGAGGTCAGTAGTTCGAGACCAGCCTGTCGAACATGGTGGAAACCCCGTTTCTACTAAAAATACAAAAGATTAGCTGGCATGGTGGCGTGCATCTGTAATCCCAGTTACTTGGGAGACCCAGGCTGGAGAATCACTTGAACCCGGAAGGCGAGATCGCACCATTGCACTCCAGCTTGGGCGACAAGAGCAAAACTCCATCTCAACAAGTAAATAAATAAATAAACTGTTTTTGAAAGCCCAGCTTTCGGGTAGAGACAAGTTGTAGGCTGAGGCACACAACCCCACCTGTGCCAGGGTGGTTGGAGCAGTCACTCAGGTTTGCCATGATTTTGGAATAAGTCTGTAGTAGAATCGACTGGTTGTCAGGCTGTCTCTTTCTGCATCTGTAGAATGGCAATCCTCCCTGTCTTGTAGAGCTCATGGTAGGAGCCAATGAAATAATGAATGTAAAGTACTTTTATGATGTAGATTTAGAATATACCTGTAATCCCAGCAGTTTGGGAGGGAAAGGCAAGAGGATCACTTGAGCCCAGGAGTTCTGGACCAGCCTGG